CATGGGATATGTGCCATCACCAGGGATCCTGGTTTTCTCTAATTAAAAAAAAAAATCCCTAATTTTTTTGTTTTAAAAAAGTAACATTTTTTACTATACTCTAACTATATACATATCTATATATTAGTGGTGTTTCATTTAACTTGTGGAAAAATATGAATTTGGGGTTACTTTTTTAAAACTGAAAATGAGGGATTTTTTATTAGAGAAAACCAGGATCCCTGGCCATCACTTACTATTTACTAAGGGGAGAGAAAAGAGAATGGTGTTCTGGCTGGGAAGTTGACTCAGCAATTAGTGAATTAGACCATAAAAAACGAACATTTCCAGATATACAGAACCAATGTCTAGCTTTCACTCTCTCTTCTTTCTTAAGGCAAAAAAGTCAGCTGCAGAGATGGCTAGAAGTGATAAACAGTTTGGCTAATGGATTTAAATATAAAAGAATTAAGCCTTCTCAGACTTTTTTCAAGGTATCCCTCTGTAGTCCTTATCAGAGGCACTGAACCTGCAAACAGCAGACAGACTTGCATTATTATTTATTATTTGTTAAAGACCAAGTGTATGCATTCTGCGTTCACGTCTGGGAAAGATGAGCCCAATTTGTGCCCATGGCCCCTAAAATGAACATTAGAGAGGCTAAAACTTTATCTCTAAATCCTGGGCAATGGGTCACCCTTTCACAAATAAATCTGGAAAGGGATGAATCTCATCTCAGGGAGTTTTGATGAAAAACACCATCCCCAGAGATACATTTGCGCATAAATCTTTGCCCCAGTGAGGCAAAGATTTATTATAATATCTAACCCCCTAAAACACTGGTCATTATAACTGTATTTTTGACATGGAGTTAAAAATACAAGCTTTGCCATACTTTTGTGGTGATATTTCATCAGATGTGTTGTTGAGAGTCTATAGACTGCAAAAAGATCTGAGTGAAATGGAGTGGAACTTCTTTGAAGTCCCACATTTTTCTAGCTCATTAGTGAATAAAGAAACATTCCTGCCCCGACAACACAGGCTTCATTTGAGACTTCTCTTCCTAGGAATTCTCCAGTGGGTAAATCTAGAAAAGGGGAAAAGCTTCAATACGGAGGCTTCATCTTTTCCCCATTAAAGCTAACTAAGTAACTTGAGACAGGCACGCACCTGGTTTTTACATTTTCAAACTTATTTAAAATAACACTAATCACCTATGAATAGCCTGTAATGGCAAAGAAAGGAACAGAGCTAACTGTCTTCAGTAGCCTTTCTAAGTACCTAGGAGCTGGGAAACATTTTCTAAGGGCCTTGTTACTTGCTAATTTTTAGTGCCTTCTGAGCTCTTAACTCCTGAATTGTGCCTGGTTTTAAGTACATTATGAGGCTCAAAGTTATGCAACTCCAGAGCTGGATTATTTCTGATCCATGTTACCCATCTCCTGTTATATGAAGGTGAAGCCACACTAGGCTTCACCCTAGTGTAAATACTTCAGGCACCCCCACTGCCCCACTGGTTCAGATTGAGCACACTGGGCCCCAAGGGGCAAAGGGGAGACCTTGAGGGTAGGGGAAAAGCCCAGAATGGAGGGATTCTTAAGTTTCAGTCCTCCAGGCTCCTGCTGTCCTGAATTGTGACTGCTCTAAACTCAACCTAGAATTAACACCGATAAACATTTCTGTGGCTCATAGTGGGAACACAGTGGGATCATCTACACGTTCATTAATGCACATTTGCGACTGTGCATTGTTTAGTGCCCTCACTAATGTGCAGTAGCAAAAGCAAATGGGTTTTTTGTGATGCTTAATGCACAGTAGATTAGTTCTAATGCACATTAGCATGGTTTTTGCCATTATGTGGTAATGTGCAGTAGAATAGGCTACTGCACATTATGGCATCTCAGATAGAAACACGCACTGTGAGTTGTAACCAGGTCCTAACACATGTGATGGATCTCTTTTGACTACAGAAATAGTAAAGCTATATGTCTAAGAAGACCTAAACTTGGCACAGACTTTATATTACTATTTTTTTCATTATAAAATAAGAACACAAAGTCTTTCATGCTCTTTCTCCCCTTGCCTACTTCCACCACCTCCCACCAAAAAAGCTTTTAGATAATAAAATATGGTTAAAACAGTGGACTTACTCAACTACAATTCAGTGACATAGTGGTATTACTGTGTTTTTTTGGGGGGGGTTTGTAATAGTAAGGATTAACAAAACAGTTTATAGATAAAATGCCCTAATACCCTGGAAAGAAGACTCCATTATTTTGGATGCACCAGGAATATACTTGTCTTCAGAAATATTCACATTAAATCCTTGAAGCTACTCATATGAAACAGATGGATAATTATTAACTAGTTGAACCTTTAAAACAGATTATATTTCCATTACATGTAGGAACCCTGATATTTTACTAATTTTTTAGCTTTAGCTGAGAGTTCTCTACACCAATCCAATGTATTATGTAATAAATTTATGCAGTACCAGAGATGGGCACGCAATGAAATTAACTATCAAAATATGTATCCCTATTTCCAAACTTTGGCATAATATGGACTTTAAAATGATAGATCCAGATCCAGATCCACCTTTAAGTGTTTTAGAACTAACAATATCCAAAAACTGAATATGAATTTCATAGGGATTTAAAAGCAAACACTTTGCTTCCTGGCTTACCCAGGGGCCTTAGCTGGGCTCTCTGATGGCTCTTCATGGTGACTGCACCAGCTTTGATCTGTCATCTTCAGACTAAGCAGTTGTGGGCAGGGTTCTCCCAGTTGTTAATGGGAATGGTGAATTTCTTGACACCTTGCTTGACCTTATTGCTGTATTGGAGCTTTGCCTTCCTTTGTGTTGCAGGAGGTTCTTGAGTTGGACAAACAGCACAGCTTTCAGAAGAGAATTCTGAGGCATGTGCTCCATGTATCCTAGCCAGTGAAGCCCGTAAACACCCAACATAGTCTGCTTAGACTGTAGACTGGTCATCTCAAGGATCTCGTTGTTGGTGATACATTGGTACCAAGTGACTCCAAGGAATTGTTTTGAGACAGAGAAGGTAGAAGCTGTTCAATTTCTATTCCTTCTTGGAGTACATGAACCAGCTTACACAATCATAAAGGAGGGTAGTGAGGACACGAGCCTGATAGACAGACACAGGCTTGTCTGTCTATCATGTTTCAGAGCTTGTTGTTCCAGACAAATGAGTTAAGTTTGCCAAAGGTGACAGAGACTTTGCCAATTCTTGATCCAACAGATGGCTAAAAGCTAACTTCAAGAACTTTTGAATTCTAAATGAAAGAAAATTCCAATAGTGTTCCCTGTGTCTGGAAGAACTAAAACTCGTTTTAGTGATAATCCTCCTTTGCTTTATCTTGTCAAATATGAGATAGAGAATCAGGAATTTGTTTTCCTTCTGCTTTCAAAATATTAAAAAGATAATAGAAAACAAGAGAACAATATGAGAAAATAAGTATGAGGGGAAGTGGAAGTGAATCGGTAGAGGGAATATTAAATACTGATTCATGAGACAAGTGAAAGATTAAAAAAGAAGAGGACAATAGCTGCAAGAATAACTAATCACTCCAAGGAGTGATTCTCCTCAGTAGCAAATGCTCAGTTAATCTACACATTAACTTAATTTACTGCCAGTATCTGTTACTCATGGTTAAATGGTGGCAATTTACTGCACAGTAGAATAGTCTTATGTAGACATACCCACATAGTATCATTCAACTTGATAGGAAGACTTGAGGAATAAGATATCAATTTGTGTGAATAAGGATGTCAGAATTTGCCCCATAGTTTCTACATGGTTCAAAGTGTTTGATTTTGTTACTTGTTATTTATTTCCAAAATGATGTATGTACTCATCTAAACTCCTCTTGCTCCCTTTCTTGTAACTATAAAAAATGGAAAGAGCCTACTGAGTTTAAAAATATATTTCTTAAAAGACAAAGAAGGAATTGGTTTATACATTCCCATAGACTTGTAGAAATCAATAGGGACATATATTGATGTACTGAGCTGAGGATGTAGTTCATAAAATGTCCCTGTTCAGCACAAGTTTACACAGGTTGCACATAGACTTTGTGCATGCATGTGAATTTAATCCAAAATGTGT